CCCCCCCCCCCGTCCCCCCACACACTCACACCGCGGTGTTCACCTGTGGACACGCCCACCAGGTCCCTCCCAGCTCCGCGATTGGCTGTTTGTTTGGACATCAGACAAGCTGTCCGGTGATTGGCGCGAATCTCATTCCCAGTGTTTTCATAAAGCAAACCTTTTGGAAGTTGTGGGAAAAAAGGGGGAATAAGTGAGGGGGAATAAACCTCGAGATAGCAGCGGTGCCGACAACCCCCCGTAGCAGGCTGCGCTTCCCGCTCCCCCCCCCCCCCCCCGCTGCCCGCCGGATTTGTAGGAGTTTCCGATGCCTTCTGCGTGTGTGAGTACCTGAGTTGTGCCGCCGCCGGGCGTCCCTCCCCGGCCCCGCAGCACCGCGGGGCCCCGCTGGGCTCTGCCGGAGCCCACACAAAAAGTTGATGGAGATTTTGAAGGGAACTTTTTTATTTTAATTTTATTTTGGCTGTTGCTTTTTTCTTGTCGTCCCGATTCAGAAGCTCGAGAGATTTCCATACCGATTAAACATGTTTAATTATCACCCTGCCACGGATGGAGTGCCGCTTCACATAAAGTGGATTACCTTAAAAAATGCTGATGAGCCCAGAGTAATGAAGGCAGGATCCAGAGTAATTACTACAGCAGTTAAAACTGTTGTAAAAATGAGTGCAGTCGTTTAAGACACTTTTTTTTTAATGACCATAAAATGTTCCTTTGTGCTTTAATATGGAGTAATTGATTCTGTACTTAATTACATATGCGGCCACCAAGTTTTTTCTTATGGAAAAACGTGTTTTTAACTTTTAAATGATTAATGTAGCTTTTGAGTCTTTGCTTAAAAATTGTCCTCAATTATCTTTGTCTTTAATTATAATTAATCAACAAATCAGTGCTAGGTGTTTTGTTCCTGCAGAGGAGTTAATTGTGAATGGAAAAACACTTTAAGTGTGTGTGTCCATCTTAGAACACAAAGGGAGGAACTTCTGGAAGTGCATGTCTGAAAGTAAAGATGTTGCTGGGTCTTTGTCGCAGTGTTATCAGGATCAGAGCTGGGCAGGAACGCTCCAGAAAGCACATGCTGATGTTGCACGCTGTGGTAATGGCCTCTTACTGCCCCCATAAATAACCAAATTGAAAGCATTTCTCTGCCTCACACAACATTTTTTCTCCAGAGCCATTTCATGGTCTTTGAATGGTTTACAATGCTTGTCCTCACTATTGTCGACCCTGCAGATGTTACATTGTAAAACCCCAGTGAAAGCATGCAATGTATTTAATTGAGCAGGATAGTTTGGTCTTAATATGGCACTGAGTTAGGGGACCACATTTCTTTGCCTGGATGAGGTATTATTTCATGGATTTACCCTACCAAAAAGTACCTAGTGTTTCCCAGAACTCGTTTGTCCTTGTTTTACAGTTCTCTTTGGCTGAATTAGTGGAGATCCCTCCCATAGGCTCAAATTTTAGCTGTGTCCCATCAGAAGTAACATGTTCCGTTGTATTTTTTACCTTTCAAGTTTTCCAATTTCTCTCTTCTTTTTCCTTTCTGATTTACTTCTCACTTCTCCTATTTGTGGAGTGTATTAGCAAGTCTCTAAAAGTGCTTTCTGTTTACTTAAGCTGGCCGACTCATTTGTCATCACGTCCTGCTCTAATGGGGAGAAACTGTTGTTAATTAACCCTTCTTGCAAACAGCCGCAGTCTTCATTCCTACCAGCCTTCCCGTGTTATCGCCGCCTGTCTGGAAAGCTAGCGTCTGCCACAGCCGTATTTCTGCAGGTGACAGCCAAGGTGCTTCCTCTCAATGCAGACGTGCGTTTCAGAACCAAAGCAGCCCTTAGGTTTTTATCTTAAATTGAATTGTTGAGGAGTTGTTAAAGAGCCATATATCACCTGGACACAGGGAACTGAGAGGGACAATCTGTGGTGTGGAGGAAGAGATGGCAGAGCGTCTCAATAGCATCACAGATGGAATGACTAAGGCTGTGTTCATAAATCCACAGGCTGAGGAAATCAAGTTGTCAGCTTGTAAACTACATTTACAGTATGTGCTGTGTGTGTGCCGTGTGTAAACATTTTATTTTAACCTAAGAAGGTGACCCTTTGCTCTTCACTCACGCATGTTTCACTTCTCTGTTTTTTCCAGCTGATGAACAGAAAAATACACCTGTCTGCACTTCAAAAGTCAAAGTGGATCAATTATTTTATGTTCTTCTTTTGGTCCATCAAAAAAGGCTTTCACACATCTCAAAATTCTTTTGCCCCTCTCTGTGAAAAAAAGTGATATAGTTGGTCACTTTCACTGAAGAGAAAGCACCGAGGGTCTGTTATATCGGGTCATATCGGTTTCCACTTTGCTCACCATAATGCCCTGCTCCATGTATGGATTTTCCATCCTGTGATTCCTCATCCTGTCTACTCCAGATGGGTTGTTCAGATCTAGTGCTGCAGAATGCCACTGATAGCAGTGGTGTATGGTCATATTTCTCCCTGAGTATAGCAAAAAAAACTCCCACAGTGGTATTTTCCCTGCAGAATTAGCTACAGCAGTGTGTGTAAGTGTGTGTGTTGCAGTTTGTTGATATTTGTCTGATCGTCATTCATTAGCCAAACAAATGATGACTGTGTATGCGCTGCTATGTGTGTACTCTGTGTGGTTTTCTACTTTTTAGTGGAAGCAATGACAGCCAGTGCCTTGAAAGAAAGTTTAAAAAGAAACACAAATGACCAGATGATCACAGTCTTAGTTCCATGTTGCAAACGGTGTGTTTTGTTCACCAGGTGAGGATGTTCTGGCTGCTTTTGTGCCTGCCTGTCTGTTCCTTGGCTCAGCGCTCAGAACCCATGTTCTCAGCCATAACCAAGACCGTTCTTCCCCCGGACTTCGAAAACAACCCCACTCAGCTCAACTACGGGGTGGCCGTCACCGACGTAGACGGGGATGGGGACCTGGAGATATTCGTAGCGGGGTGAGAAGAGCATAGGAGCAGCTTTCGTCACTCAAAGTTAATGTGCCCTTGACGTCACCACAGTCCAGTGACTGACTTATATATCTTAATATGCACAGGGCAATTTGAGTATTGTTTCACTCTTAAGAGTGACATAAAAATCAAAATCCATTTTCGTTAAACGTTGAGGACAGAGGTAAAAAGCTGAAAGTGTAAGGTGCCCTGTGGCTCACTCAGCTGAAGAAAATGGATGTGATTGAAAAGAACGCCATTGATGGGAACAGTTTTGCAAGCCTGATTCTATCCAATGAAGCAGCAATGAGTTTCTCAATGCTTAACAGAATATAGATGAGCCAAAATGAGCGTGCTTACTAAATGTCATTAAGTCAAAACATCCTATTCAGCAGGTATCCCTGGCAGGGACTCATCCCAAAGCCTCATAGAGAATGTAATTTCATTTGCCATTAGAGGAACCTTTGCATGAATTGCTTCTGTATAGTTTATATTACACGAGAGCTGACCTTCAGCACTCATGGTATTATTATGACTTTGAAAGTTCCTTGTTTATTCTTTGTTTATTCTTTTATGTGTATATATCTGTGCTGGTGTGCTCTGTAAAATGAGATTATTGATTCATTTAGAATTTACATATTTCATTTACAAGAAAATGTTATGTTCATGTTATTCAGCTCATACGGTCTTAGTCCCTCTGAAAAAGTGACTATGCATAACCCGAGCGTAACAGAAGTGCACCAATTTACTGTGACACTAACTGAGAGAAGTGTCAAATTTGAGGAGTTAGATTTAAAAAAATATTACACCCAGATTGGACTACTTTATAGGTCTCAAGGCCTATCAAACCCTAAATGAGGAGCAAGCCACAGACACATCTTTGTTAGTTTCTTCTTTTAAAAAACGGACAATCAAAAGCATTAAAAGACTTTTTAGCATCTACCAACACTGATATGTGACAGGAAAATGCTGTTGTCATGATTAGGGAATAGGATGAGGCATATCTTTTTATTCAATAAATATGTTGGGTTTTATATGCCGATTGACGAGGTCTTATTTTACAAGCCTGTCTTTGTATTTGAAACGCACCATATTTCAGTGGCCCAGAGCGCTAAATCACATGTTAATTCCACCATCGGGAGAGATCTGCTGACTTCAGCAGTTACACAAAGAAAAAAAAAACAGAGTGTCCTCATGGGCAATCAGCTGGATCCTATAAATCCCATTTTGCTGCAGGTTTACCTGAACTTATGACTTAGGAAATGTCACTTAAGTGTATTCATCCAACTTTTGTACCTGGGTTTTATTCTATCAAACATCTAATTTTTACACTTCAGCTTAATTTTGGGTAAGAAAATGTAAGTGGCATTGGAGAGAAAACCTTGGAGTGAAATAGACAGCTTTTTAGAAATGCTGAGAAGTTTATCATGCCATTTTCATAATAAGAACAGATATATGCTTACTCTGCTATGCTCTGATCAGGTGGCCCATTTCTTTTGAATTTTGTGTGCTTTGCACATTCTAGTGGGAGCAATATGATTGTATAAAAGTCTTCTGAGGTTTTCTAGTAATATTTTCTCTTGCTGCTAAAAACAATTATCTTGTCAGAGCTAAAATAAATGTAAAAATGCAGTGTGTGGCATTTAAAAGCAGCGTGTTCAATTATGGGTCATGTATGTGTACCGTGAGCGTAACGCTTTTCTGTGTCTCCCTGTGACAGCTACAACGGCCCAAACCTGGTGCTAAAGTACGACAAGCACCAGAAAAGGCTTGTCAACATCGCTGTCGACGACCGCAGTTCCCCATTCTACGCCCTCAGAGATCGTCAGGGCAACGCCATCGGAGTGACAGCATGTGACATAGATGGGGATGGACGGGAGGAGATTTATGTACTTAACACCAATAACGCTTTCTCTGGTACAGCGCAAGCCAACGCAAATACGCACAGTATAAACACTCTCACACACACACGCTTTTCTCAGACAGAAAAATAAGCAGGAGAAAATGTAAGCAGTTGCATCTTCTTATCTCATCTGAGCCGTCATCAGATAACAGATAAGCTTTGTGCTGCTATTAATCATACAAAGAGCTCCGGAGCACACACTGCCACCTCTGCCATTCCTTATTAGAGCTGCTTTACAATTCAGCCACAGCAGCCTGGCTTTCTGTCCCCCATCTCCCATGGTTCTAATGTCGTATAATGCCTCTTTGCTCCACACAGTCTTTGCCTCTCACGAACTCTGTATCTTCCCCTCATCAAGGTCGGGCGACATATTCTGACAAGCTGTTCAAGTTCCGCAACGGACGCTTTGAGGATCTGCTGAACGATGATATCAATGAGCACCGGGACGTGGCCAACCCGATGGCCGGGCGCTCAGTGGCCTGCGTGGACAGAAAGGTACGGCGCGCACAAACGCAGGCAGTAGTGGAGTACAGTATCTGGATGTGCACCGCACACACCCAGTCCCACTGGAGCCCTCTGCGTCCATGCACGGGCGCCTCTGTTTGTTTACTAGTGATAACTCATGCCCTGCCTACACCACCCTTCTCAGCATGTGCTATGACAGTTCATTTGGGGAAATGGTGTGCCATTTTCTCTTCTCTGTCCATCGCGCCAGTGTAATTACAGAAGCAAAGGCTCGTTTGTTTTACAGAACATCGTACGAGGGAGGGGAGTGATGACTGCACGCTACCTCTTCCGCCTGGAGCATCTTCCTTCTTTCCCTTAGTCTCTTTGTTTTCTATCCTTTTTTACCCCTCTTTCTGTCCGACACACTCTTCCTTTGTTTCTTATCTCACGCACACACACAATACTCACTTTTAATCAGGAGATGGGATAAAGACTGTAATAGTGGCAAGAGGACAGCAGGGATTACAATAGATTTTTTTAACCACAGTCCCATCTCACTGAGCACTGATAGGATGTGCAGGTGCCAAACAGATTGGAAAGATATCTGCTTTTAATGGTGTGATTCTTTTTTGTAGAAGCCAAAGACGCAATGTTTGCTCGTGAATGCTAGCTCAAGCAGATCGACTTTTCCTATTGCCTGATATGTTTTATTGGGCCATATCTGGAACAACAGCAGAAGGTTACATAGGCCGGTGCCAAAGCATTTTGTATTGTGCCGCTAATGTGTTTAATCTGTTTTACTCATAAATAGTGTTATCTTTAGACAAAAGAGATGCATTTTTCATCCAGACATTCTGTCTCTCCCAGTCTCCTTGAAAGTGGCATCCCATTATTATTGTTACACAAATGGATGAGGGTGACGAATGGCGGGCTCTCACATCCAACTAATGGACTCGTTCACTTTGACAGGCAGAAGGGACGAAATGCTTTTTTGAAACTCAGATTACTGAAAGATGTTCCGATAAAGTATGACAATGAAAGGTTTATGTACATTGCCTGACAATAAAAGAATAGCATTAGAGGTTTTAGCTTTTGCTGGCTTCTCTGTGGTAGCTTTAAAGGTTGGTGGGGAGGTAGTTGCACGAACATGCACTTTGCAGGATTATGTTCCAGTCCCACTGACAGAAGTTAGCCTTGGGTGAAGACTTATTGAAAAATCATTGACTTTTAAGTTTGTTAAGTAACAGCCAGCGGCCTTCAGGTCTCCTGTTGTAGTTAATTTTCTTTGTTTGTGTGTGTGTGTGTCCATACATGTGTGGATGAAACCCCACTGTTCGTACAGCTTGCTGTCATGTGACATTTGCATCAACCAGACTTATCTTCTTGTTTCGTAAAAACATTTTAAGATGGATACAGCCGGAAAAGGGCTTTTTTTGTGGGATTTTTTGTACACGTGCATGTGTTTGCACTGATGGAAATATATGTAGCCTGTTGGGAAAGCTCATTGGAATCAAGTGTGTAGTCTATTAGTGTGGTTCCGTTTGTGAGTTTGTGTCTGCAGGGACTCTGGCTGATAATGGAGTGTGAAATTAATCTCCAAAGGGAGGCAGAGCGAGGAAGACAGGCTGAGAAAAAGGGGTAAAGGGTTAGAAACAGTATGAACGGTGATAACGGGAGACGGAGGAGGTCTGATCAGGGAAAGGTGCAATATATTGACAAAGATGAAGGATGAAGACACAATTTTCTTAAATAAGTTTAGTCTTTAAGTTTACTTATTTAATCCTAATTTGGTTTGATGAACACTGTTCGGTGGAACCTGTTAGTAAATCATTTGCCTTTTTTCCCCCAAAGTATGTATTAATGATATTAACAAAAAGAAAGGTTGAAAACAACCTGCTTAATCACTGCTCTTCTTGTCCTAAAGTAGTTTTGGTGTAATAGCACTTTGCCATTTATATAATTTATGCTGAATTCTGGGTTTGATGAAAATCTCACTAAACGTCTCTAGTACAAGCTTCGTGCCAAATGCTAGACAAAGACAACACAAGCCAAATAACAACAATTTAGACCAAAATCTTTGCATAAATATGACAACTGTAAATCTTCTCATAAGGTTTGATTATGGGATATTTCAAGGTGTGATTCTGGAATTATTTCACGCTTATCAATTTGAAGGTGGTGATTTGTCTGTGTTTACAAAGCTGGTTTCTTTTCTTCCAAAAGCAGGATTTTCATTTTATGCATTTGAATTCCTTTAAGAGTAGAATATGCTAATACGCTTGGGTGGCTGTATGAACTTGCAAAAATACTTTATGTCTCATCAAGCTCTCCAACTTTTTCAAAAGGTTCCTTTTAAAAAAAAGAAAAAGTTTTAGATTTTAAACCTTGAGTCCACAGAACAGTTCATGAGCATCTTTTTCTAAAGCTGGTCTGTGAGCCCCCCCCAATATAAATGAAAAGAATGGTGGGATCAATATCAATAAGGAAAAATAATGAAGAAGAAGCAGAAGAAAACCAATGCTTTTCAGAAGTTAAACCTGGTTCTTCAGTGAGGAAAAGAGAGGCAGGCATGGGGTGGCAGAGTCTGCAAAATGAATCTCCGGGAGGACATGGAAGGGCAGAAAGGCATAGCTAGTAGCTAGAAAACACATGCCATATCCAAGAAAGTCTACCCAGCACTTTTTTAGGGCTGATCTGAAACTCCAACTCAAGAGCATTTTAACTTGCCAAAAATGACCCTGAGAGGGCAGTTACTGTGATTGGTTCTCTCACAAGGAGAGGTAATTTTTGCCTGAAAAAGGTTGTTTATTTGTGTGGAAAATGGCTTTTCATGTTAGGATTTGTACATGATTATTTCTGGGGTTCATGGACGGCAGTAGGGATAATAAAAAAAAAAGAAACGTGAAGGATATAAGAAAAAAGAAGTAAAGTTAATTTTCTTATAAGCTTCTCCATCAAGCATGTGTTTGTTTGCAGGGCACGGGGCGGTATGCTATCTACATCGCTAACTATGCCAGCGGGGACGTGGGTCCTCACGCTCTCATTGAAATGGACGAGGCAGCCAGTGACCTTTCGCAAGGCGTCGTCGCCCTCTCCAATGTGGCCGAGCAAGCCGGAGTCAACAAGTTAATTGGTGGGTATGAAGACCCGACGGTGGCCGTGTGAAGTCGATCAGGGTACCAGCGTGACACCGGACGCTCTGTGAGATTTATACTGACATCTTCAAAGGTGCATGTACCTGTTGTCCCCACACAACTTGACATATAGGAGTTTAGCATGCAGAGGAGGCTGGTCAGGGAGTGTGTTTGAGAGAGCTGGAAAACTTCCAAGTCAGAAGAAATGATAAAGGGAGAGGGGAAAAAAGAGGAGCTTTTTTAGCTCTGTCAGCTGTTTTATTTCAAAGTCGCAGAGAGGTGAATGGAAAGGACGACTCAAACATACATCAGTTCATATCAGCCGCTCGAGGACTGCATCTATCACAGTTCCCTCACTGTTTTCCAAAGCTGTACACAACCATTTCATAAACAACTAGTCAGAAAAAGACGAGAAGGAGACTTGAGGGAAACTGGGAAACTGAAATGGAGAATGGCCAGGAAGAGAGAACATAGAAAAGAAATTGATAATCAAGTAAGAAAAACAGAAAACATGGAGGTCAAAATAAGCAGAAAAGAAACCACAAAAAGGCTAAAACTACGGAGATGAGAAACTGGAAAGCACAGAATAAGGCAAAGACTGCATGAACAAGACATCATGAACTTACTAACTATCACTTAAAGACAAAGCTGTCAAATGAAAAGGAATCATCTTGACTGTTAGATGGATATTTGACGTCTGAATAAAAACATTTCCAGATATGAATAAGATGTTGCTTGTCAAGCTGTATTTTATTCTCATTTTGATTTTCTAAAGAACTTTATGGTTCTGTGCAGACTACTTTTCATGAAATATTTCCATTCTAATTGGAACTTTTTAAAGAATGCTGTATGTTATTTTAAGTTGCTGAAAAATATCAATAATACATCAACAGACAACACAAATAGACACATTTCTAAATTTTCCTTTTAAAAATAGAAGAAAATATTCAACTTTAACCACTGAAAAGTCCTTGATGCTATGAAGTTCCAGTAAGTTTGGAAAATTGGGGATGACTTTGTGTCTTAAAGCAGCAGGATGACTCTTCATCATCTTTAGATCTTTTTACATGAAGGACATCATCTGATCCACCGAGGGAGCAGAGTGAGCTGGCTCAAAATTGCTGTGAATGATGTACGGTGGATGGCTTTGTCATCAAACTGCCGTTAATCGGGGCAAAGGGACAGCCAGTGAAGTTGTATATCTGATGGTTACATATCTCTGGAGAGACATTAGTGGTTTATGGCTGCAGGGGGCGAGTGATATTTGTCTGGCCTGATGGAGCAGCCCAGTAAATCAGGAGCGAGTCCTGGCTCACAGCACTGACTCCGCATACAGGAAGGGCAATCAAAGCTCTTTCAGCTACATAATTAAACTCCGCTGGTCTGGGATGAAACACTTTGGTGAAATACTTTACTTTATAGAAAGTCATTGGAAATTCCTGCGGTGATATTGAGAGCCTACTGAGCAGCCGCGGGGATCTGTTCAGAGGAAGAAATTCACTGTTAGGTTTTTGCGTAATGCAAAGCACTCTCATCATGTGTTGCGTTGCCAAGCTTGTGTGTTTGTTGGGGCTTGTGCTTACACAGCTGGTGTGTTTACCTGAGATCCTATGTGTGTTCCACATCAGAGTCAGTGTCTGTGTCAGCAGAAAGACTTGTCATGCTCAGAGCAAATGGCGTGGAAAGACAGTAATGATCTCTGTGCCGTTCACCTCTTTTTCAGAGCTGGTTTCTCTCCCTCTGCTCCCTACATTGTTTCACTTATCCCACCTTTATTTTTACCTGACTCTATCTCTGTCTGGCTGCCTAATTTTCTCTCGCTGCTTTGCGTATTTTCAGGGGGAAGAGGTGTTGTGGTGGGGCCCATCGTCAGTCAAACTCTGTCGGACGTCTTTTGCGACAATGAGTACGGATCCAACTTTCTGTTCAGGAATAATGGAGATGGGACTTTTACTGATGTGGCACAGCAGGCTGGTAGGAGCATCTGCTGTTTAATAGAGCATAACCTTGTTGTTTATTCTGGAGATATCATACGAATCTGATGTGGAAACAATACATGACGGAGGCATTTATTTTATAATAGAGCAAATCATCAAATGGTTTTAGGTGTTGAAGACCCCATGCAGCATGGAAGAGGGGTGGCTCTGGCAGACTTTAACCGAGACGGCAGGACGGACATCGTTTATGGGAACTGGAACGGACCCCACCGCCTGTACATCCAGCTGAACAACCGCAAACAGAAATTCAAGGCTAGTCCCAGAATTTTTATCAACACTATATACATGCGAAAAAAAATGACAGATCCACACATTATTTTTGCCACAGCTAAAAAGGCACGATGATGATATGAATAGTAAAGAATACTTTTGCCAGAAATTAGTTTTATTTTATTATTTCCTTTCTGCCGTCACCTATAGAGCAAAAATGTGGAATTAAAGTAAAAGTGAGTTCTATAAGTTTAGGGCAACAGACCTAGCAGAGGTAAAAAATAAATGCCAGCAGCCAAAATCTTGGACATCACATCAGGGTTACAGTGGAGGATTTCTCTGTTTCTCTTCAATCAGCAAGGGAGTTTGGGATGCATAGACTATTCATGATATGGTTTTATGTTTGCTTAAATAATCCTCTGCTCTGCTCCTAAAACATTCTCAATATCAAATTCTTCTAACTTCATTTTGTTCCCCATGGCTGTAGTCATTTATTGCACCTACAATTACTTTCAGGGAGATGCTATGAAAAGTGACAGGAACAAACAAAAGCAGAGAAAAGTCATTTTGGTTTTCTAAGCGTTCTCAGAAAGAATACTTTCTGAGTAAATTATCCAGCCTTGTTTTCGGTTTCAGCCTCACATTTAGTCAAATTGATTAAAAGATCTCCCCAGAAGAATGGGAGACCTGCACACTGCAGATGCTGATGAGAATCTCTCTCCACAGAAAAATACTGACAGGATGTCCACTTAGAACTTGGATCACTATGTTTTACTCTGTCAGATACCCTGTGAGGCCAAAAATGTGCGATAATGACTCAGTGGGATACAAACTTTCAGCCAGATGAGGCAGACAAGAAAGATTGCAGAAACATCTTGCTGTCATGGTTTCAGGCTTTGCTTTAAAAAATAGTAAAAAAGTATTATGTGCAATCATGTGCTGCAATCAAATGTTAAGTCTAATGTAAATTATTATATTCTGCATTAACATTTCAAAGTTTTAAATATCCACACACTCCTTCACATAAAAACGATCTGACTTCTAAGGAGAAGGTTGCACATATTACTGGAAATCTCTCAGGCGTTATATTAATTTACCCTTAAGTGCAAAATAGTAGCAATGAAAACTGCTCACCGGCAGGATATCCAGTGTTACCAGCCCTCATTGATCATATGCAGTCTAAGTGTTTAATGTTTCTCACCCTCAAATAATCTATTATGGTTGCTGATGTAGAAGTTTCGGAGAGTTGGTCTCTATTTTTCCCCTTCAGGCAAAAATCAATGTTTAATGAGCAAGCAGCACAAAAACAACAAATCTCATCTATTACCTATGTGAATCACGGTGTTATCAGTCCTAGCAGTTGGCTAATGAGTTAGCGCCACTCGCCGCTGGCGCCACTTTGGGTTTAAGTGGTATTTAAAGACGCATGGGTGGTGATTTACTCAATCAATAATTCTACAGACAAGCCCTGTGAGACAGCCAGAAATGTGCATCTGTTTGTGTTTTACCTTTACGAGCACCAGACAGAGAGATGGCCCGCACCGTGTGTAAATCTGCAGAGGTTTCATGCTCTGTGATCTACCTGTCACCTCCTAAACCCACATCCGTTACCCAAGACATAAACGTCACGGGAGGCATCTTTATAGGGGTCAAGTAAAGGGTTAATGTGTGATGCCTGGCCTAGAAACAGTTCCATCAGAGTGGCACCGACACGTACACTACTACGTGCCCTTACTGAAGACAAATTGAATTATGTTGACAATTTCTTTCTTTTTTCCCCGAGACCAAATTTGTCAAATCGGAAGTCCTGAACATATTTAAGACACCTTTCACCTGCAAAAGCTGACATGGCCAATAGCCACTTTGATCCTTGGCATGCATAATAAAGCTGTTCTATCAGTTCAGTAAACTGCCAATTAAATTAGGCTGAACCAGCAGCTTGCCTTGGTGGTGGAAAGTGCCGATTAGACCTGTTTATGCTTTAATTCAAATCTATTGGGGAGGTTCAATGCATTCTTCAGCACAAACCCATGCAGATTCAATATAGATTAAGACAGATGGAAGAAATGTCATGTGGAAGTTGTGAGTTTTATGCTTTAGTCTTTGGTGGGATCTTTTTGTAATAAATTAATTTAAAGTTGTAAGCTGGAGATACATTTTAATTTGAAATAAAACATCAAAAAATAAAAGAAAGATTGTATAATGATTATACCATCTTTTTGTTAATTTTTTAAATATTTTATATCAGTTTATTGATTATTATTTATGCAAAAACATTTTAAAATATTTCAAATGTCAAATTATTTCAAATAATATTTTGGACAAAATTGTTAAAATGCTCATGTTTAGCTGGAGAATAAACTTGATCCAAGATGTTTTGCATAAATTAAATCAATATGAAATATTAGTTTCGAGGCTCAGTTCCTGTTAATTAAGTTTTTTCTCTTTTGAATACACTTAGGAGTAAAATAATAAATGTAAAGCAATCCTTGTACTCCTCCCTTGTAGATTCAGATGGCCATCCCCTCTCCTTCACCTGAGAATGAGAAGGTCACTATGGGCGGCCCCCAGCCCTGCAGCTTTATGAGCCTTATAATTAAAACGGGGAGTAAATAGAGGGGGGAGTGAAGAGCTGCTCTATAACTCTTTCTCGACTTAACACCATGTCACTGAAGCGGGGAGATATCTGTTACTTTCTCATGCAAAAAAACTCATCTGCTCCAGAGACTACTTTTTTGGGGGGTGGGGTGGCAGAAAGCTTGTGGATACCTTTCTCTTGGCAAAGTATGTAAAAGGCTCTTTGTTCTTATCTTAGACTTCAGATTAAACTGTTAACCAGGGTCATCTACCTCAAGGACTGGACACAGGATACTGAGGGACAAATTGTTTGCTATGGTGATTAAATTTGTGACTTTCAAGTTATGTAGAAGTTTCTCAAGCCAGCTGATAGCAGCAGGCTTTAGGAAACAGCACATTGAATCATTCTCACGTGTCAGAGAACAACTAAAAGGTTGCTTGCTTTGGTCACTAGAATGTGGCTTTTTTCTGAAACTGAAAAAGAAATGCAAAAATCCATTTATAAGAGCTGCATCTAGGGAGCCTGCATGAACAAAATAACCATTGATATGTATATTCAATGAAAAAGGAGTAGTCAGGTTGTATGTGTATCCAGATTTGTTCTAATGATTTGGGGTAATTACAGGTTGAGGTGAGATCATAATTAAGTTACAACTTCTGAAACTCCCCATTAATTTGTGCATGAGTGTTTTCATGTTTCACCTGTGGACCGGTTCTTAGGACATAGCCTCTCAGAAGTTTTCCATGCCGTCCCCGGTCCGAACCGTCATCGCTGCGGACTTCGACAATGACAATGAGCTGGAGGTCTTCTTCAATAACATCGCCTACAGAGGCCCCTCTGCCAACAGGCTCTTTAGGTACTGACACAAAAACTGTGGTGCACACTCACAAACACACACACACTTCTATGTACATATGCAGATGGCAGTAAGTTTTAATAGCGCTTTAATGATGAGGTTAATGGACTACTCATGAGTTGTGATTTAATATTCTGGAAGTGAGATTGGAAGCAGAGGAGAATTTAAAATTCCAAGCCAAGAATACTTATCTAGTCTGGCATCCCGCCTCCTCCTCCTCCTGCTCCACACATGAATGAATCTTTCATTAAGACAGTTTTAGCTCTCTTTTTGGCTCGTGGTTAAGTTTCCTCTCCAGATAATATTAATGAACTCAGCTTCTAAAATGTAACCTTTGATACTTATCAGTTTTTTTTTTTTTCAAGTAGAGCGAGCCCCTCCTGTCTGAATAAGAATCTGATCTGGCGTATGCGTGAACACAGGATTGAGTTTGCGTTAATATTGAGTTTCAATAATCAGATTTGCTGCATCATAATATTCTGGCACACCAGATCGCAGGAGGAGCGTCTGTCTGTCTGTCTGTCTGCCCTGACAGGGGTCACTGCTCCACAGCTCATAGCTCTGCTATTGTCTACCAAAACCACAAAGCTGGCTCTTTACTCCTCTCTCTGGCACTAATGTACAATTTGAGAAAAACAAACAGTACAGAACAGAACCAAAACATGAACACAAAACAAAGATTAATCTAAAACAACCAATCAATATTTAGTTTTATCCAGTGGTTTAAGAGCCAGAATAAGCACATTAAATGCAGAAAGATATTCATTTATTCATCTAATGGAGAGCTGGATGTGGGGATAAACATGAAACACATGATAGCAGGCAATGTAGATCATTTATGTTTTGTTCATAATTTGATCAAAGAGCTTCATACATGAATAGTACTAATAACAGTCAGATTCCCGACAGGTGTTGTACATACATTCTTTAAAGATTAGATTACATTTAATAGAATAATTTTAAATTTTAAAAAGTGATGGGATTTGTTTGTAATTTCAGTTGCTTAGGGTGCAATATGCATGTATAACAAAAACTGGAAAATAAATATCTAGTTCTATAGAATAATACATAAACAGGTTGAATCAGTTTAGGTATAGTAAATAGACTAAAGATATCTTTCATTAGTCTGTCTTTACAGAAGTCACTCTTCCTCAGTTTGTTTTTGATTGTTTATAGTTACAGATTTCAAAGTTCCTATCCAGCTCTTATTTAAGTTTGGTTAATTTTTTTTTTATAGAAAAGACATAACACACTATGAAATAGTTAATAAAGCTAAATGAAAAGAATGGCATAATTAACTACTTTTGAGGAGATGATAGAATGTATTGTTTTATCTTAAATAAATATGCAGTTAAATTTAGATTTTGTGACAGCTCTAAATAGTGTGAGAATGTTTTTTTCTTTGTTTGAAACTGATTTAAGAAATATCTTTACAAATTCTAAAAAATGTTTTTTAATATACACAACCTGCAATTTGTCTGTCTGTCAACTTTTTAAAAAATCTTTACATATTTTCTTTCTGTTTTGGAAGCATAAACTGTCATTTCTATTGTATTTCAACATTTAAAGAAAAATGACAACTAAGTACAGATGTTATTGCCTCACGTAAATCTTCAAATTTAAAAAAACTGTTCACACTTTTTGTGTTTTTAAATATATGGGTAAAAAAGTTTTCATTAGCATATTACATAGCATTAAAACAGTCCCAAATAACAACAGAAACTTAAACAACTAAGATTCCCATACATGGCTTTAAGAGTCAGTTGAAAAGGATGGAGATCATTCCACAGTTCCAAAAAGAAAGTGCGACCTTCTCTGAGCCTGTGCTTGGTTTAAGCAGAAAGCATCGACTTCAGCATATGATGATCTCTTGGTCCTTACTTGTACTATAATTTTTCGGGGTGATTTTCTCAGTTATGTTTGTGCTGTTGAGTCCATAGGGTGAGCAGGAGAGAACATGGGGACCCACAAATAGAAGAGTTAAACACGGGGGAGGCTGCAGAGCCCGAAGGACGAGGAACCGGTAAGCATGCAGAACACACACTCACCCGCTGAGATTCACCCCACGAAAAACCCTTTTGAAGGAAATGTTTACAATCACGGTTTTTGTTCATGCCGCCTAAAGGCAGCATAAAGCCACTGCTTCATGTTTATTAATAAGACTTGCTATGATCTCATCAGTAAAAATGAGGTGCGTGTCTGCTGTTCCTAAATCAAGCCATTAGATGGCATCAGAGCACCATTAGGGATCCACATTTCCATGTTATTTGTGCCATAACAGTTGAATTATCTCAAATCGTTCCAACACAAGGTTAGCGATTATTATGATGGGCGTTTAGTTGAGCAACTTCGTATGATGGGTCTCCAGGAGCTGTAGTGACTGATTTTGATGGGGACGGGCGTCTGGAGCTGCTGGTGTCTCACGGGGAGAGCGCAGCTCAGCCGCTCTCTGTGTACAAAGTCAACCAAGTAAGGGTTTCATATAACACTTGACACTCAGGAGATTAAATCCCCTTGAGAAAACCCACTCCTCTCTAATTTTTCTTTGATGTCAGGGCCTCACTAACTCATGGCTGCGAGTGATTCCTCGGACCAAGTTTGGTGCTTTTGCCAGGGGAGCTAAAGTGGTGGTGTACACGAAGAAGAGCGGCCCACACACACGGATTATCGATGGGGGCTCAGGATACCTGTGTGAGATGGAGCCCGTTGCCCACTTTGGCCTTGGTAAGACCACATGCAGAGTGCTACCCTTGTTTTTAAATATAACTTTCAGCTTACCACATCTGCACATGTTAAAAGTTTTCACTTGGAGGTGTTGAATTATATTTGGGATTAAAGTGTATTGTTTTTTTTGTTATCTTTTTAGATTGTACATTCAATTATTAGTCTAAGTATTAAATTAAAGGAGGTATTTTATTCTCATAAAAATGAAGTTGACTTATGTCCAGGAAAATGATAATAATAATAATAATACATTTACAATGCTTTAAGCACTGTAAAGAGAAGTTGTGAGAAAGAAACGTTTAGAAATCATGTATTAATTCCTTTAGCTTAATTAGACACCCACAGGAGCAAAAGCTGTCTGCTGGAGCTGTGTGGACAGAATCAGGATAGGGGGACAGGTGCAGTTGGAAACCAGCCTGGATTGTGAGCATCGAGTTCCCGAGGACACTCGGCCGGTGGCAGCCAACCCGCCGCAGCTCCACCACCACTGTGCAATCACACATAAGCCCCAGCAGCTCTCAGAATACACACCAACAGTAAACATCCCACACTGTTGTAGCTTCACAAGAGAAGCCTGGACTTTAGAGATGGACATTGGAGGAAGACTCACCACCATTAAATGAGTGGCTGTCATGTGAGGGCAGAAGGACGCAGAATCATCTTTTGGCTCTCTCGCAGCACACCTGTCTGGCAGAGTATCTGAAGATCTGTTTACATTAGAAATGCCACTTTAATTAAGGGCCATGCAGGGCCTCGGGAGACAAGCTTTCTCTCTGGCTGATTTAAGCAGTTAATGGAGGGAGAAGCGTGCCTCTGTGTCCCGACTACCCAGTGCATGCACTGTTCTGACCCCACTGTAATAATTAATTTCTCTGTTTCGTGCCTATTTTGAATTATCCCTGCCCGAACAGGTAAGGACGTGGCCACCAATGTTGAAGTGTACTGGCCAGATGGCCACTCAGTAGCCCGGCCGCTGGACCCTTCAGAGATAAACTCTGTGCTCGAGATCCATTACCCAAGAGAGGAGGATGAAGTTACTCCTACAGTTGAAATAGAGGTACAGAAGATGTCATCAAAGCAATATTTGTTAGGAAAATATAATTGTTTTCTGTAGAACAGATTTAGCCTCTACAACAACAACAAAGCACTGGTGGGATTCTTGTATTTGATTTTTTTCGACTGCAACATAAGATTGTTTGTTACCAGTGAGATTCAAATGCCATTCTAGCTTATGGTTTATGATAAATTTTTCAAGCATGATTGGACATGTGCAGACTAATGGCTAAAACGAATAAACTGGACATGAGTGTGGAACAACACTACTGTTCTGAAACTGTAGTTCCTCAACAGAAAAGTTGCAAGAACAAGAACCAAACCAGATCTCTGATGTGTTGCAGGCAGCAGCAGGATGAAGTTCTCATACATAGTGAATGTTTTAACTACAAATGAATGTGGGCAATGTGCTCTCAGTTTATGGAAATTAGAACTTAGTTATTAAATTGCTTCTGGATGACCTTCCGAGAGAGGAGCAACTCAACTATGTAAAAAATCATTGCTCATTTTCAGTGAGGGCTCTGCTGTGGATTCTCACACGATTGCCTGACATTTCTGTGTCAGGCGATTGTTCATTATTAACTCATGAGCACTGAAAGTTTTTTAAGAGAAGCTGCAGACCGTTTGGTCCAGATTTTCTGCTGTTGCTGTGTGCTCGATCATCATAGAGGGGAGACATTTACGTGGAATCCTCACTCAGCTGACACGAATACTGAATGTCATCTGTTTGTATAGAAGAGAGGAAGTGGAAATGAGCACACAGCTCACTATAAACAGACTAACTTACCAGCAAGCACACACTCACACACACTTGCTCATTCCCACAGTGACAACAAGTTCTCAGGAATGCTGCCTGCACACTGTCTCACTCACTAATGTTTTAGTGAATTTACTATAGGAATTTTCACCTGCCACCACTCAGGAACAGAGGTTTGAGATTTGTGACCTAACAAACACACTTTTCTACAGACTTGCATATTTCTCTTTTTTCTGAGCAGCTTTTTGGCTTGCTTGCCCATCGTGAAGCCTTCTCATTCTTTGAACTGAGTGCACTCAGACCAATCTGATGAAAATAAGAATCTGACTAACAAAAAAAAAGCCTTTAAGTAGTATGATCACAAAATTAACTTTGTGAGCAAATGCCATTAAAGCCTGAGAATTGGTTTTATGAATTGTCTTATGTGATGGTAAAGACTCTTGCTTCACATTGACTGTGTCTTACAGTGTGGTCATGGGTTTGCTCTGAATGAAAATGGCCGTTGCACAGGTAAGCTGATCCATTTCCTTCTCCTCTTGAAAACGTTCTACTTGTTTAAAACTCCTCAATTGTCTTTGCCCTCCTCGCCCCCACCACCTTCAGATAAAGATGAGTGTACCCAGTTCCCCTCTGTGTGCCCCCCCGACCGCCCTGTGTGCACCAACACCTATGGCAGCTATAAGTGTCGCGCCAAGAGGAGATGCAACCAGGGCTTTGAGCCCAACGATGATGGGTCAGCCTGTGTGGGTGAGTGGTCCAGACAGACTTAGCTGGATTACTAAAATCAGCAGAACAAAGGAAGCACTGCCAGAGAATCAGATGTGTTAAGCGGCCTTAATTACAGTGGTTTTGCGTAGAGGCTTAAAGGTGCTAGCATTCCTCTGACTGTGTCCCCTCTGTGCACCCTCTGTCCTGCGTGACTGAACCCCAGGTGTGAATGAGTTGTGTTTTAGCCACTTTGGCTAACAATTTTCTGCTCTCTTTTGTCCCCCTTCCTCTGCAGCCCAGGTGGCTTACTTTGGGGGGACGCTATCTTCTGGGGAACGTTGCACTTTCCACGGTCTTTCTTTCTCTGTGGTCCTCCTCACCTCCACCTATCTGCAGACAGGACTGCTGTAGCTGTCGCCACTTTCTCCCTGTCTGCACTGTTGAACGGGGATGTACAGAAAACTTTTCACAAACCACCAACCCCTCCTTCTCCTCTACTTGTCCCTGCTGTCTTTTCCATCACTTATTTACTGCTTTGCCCCTCAACCTGCTGCTGATTGTCACCTCTTGGCTTCTGGCTCCCTCTGGACTGTAAAGAAACGAGCAGGGAGCATGCTTGCCGCGAGCCACGGGGATCAAAAGTAGCCGTATCACTTGTGGAGCCCCCAGTGTCATCACCTAGCACTTATCATAGCAGGACCTGAATCGAGGCCAAGTCAATAAGTGGAGCTCCAGCTCAACAGCAGCACATACAGGAACAGATCCACTGTCTTCATGGAACACATTTATTAGAGGCGCGCTGAGGTCCCATCTGTCTGTGCACCGTGCTGCTATGCTGATCCTCACATGACTCTCATTCTTACTATGTGTTGCTTTGGATGCTGTGAAGCACCACGCTAAAGGTTTTGTGTGTGTGTGTGTTAAGGATTTTTTTTCTGGGCGTGGTGTGCGTGCTGGTTCCAAATAGACAGTCAGGTAGAGGAGCATATGGCAGACCATCTGTCCCTGAACGGTTACCATATGACGTGTATGAATAATACAGTAGCATAGAAAAGAAGGTAAATACAAGGAAATGTGAAGCAAACAGATGATTTTTTTATATGCAGTGTAGCCAGAAAGTACATGAAGTGAACATCCAAAGGAGTGATGGGCTGGAGTCAAGAACTGCAAGATAAAAGGTAAGACAAAAGCACGAGAAAACAACACTGGCTCGTTACGTGATAATTTACCATTCCAGTTACGAATGGGAAAATTTACCTTTTAAGCTAATTTAAATAAGTTAAAAAACACATTTGAATTTTTACTTAAAAGCTAAAAAACAGAGGGTGGCAAGGTTCCGTATTCTTTATTCCTATGCACCACTCTCTTATTTTGTTTCAATGTATCCACCTCTACAAAAAACATATTTGGTGACGTAATTAATCACTTTATTTCTGTTTATATTAAAAACCATTGTGAGCTGCAGACTAAGCTTTAAGCCCTATATATCTACATGTGATTGTGACTCACTTAAAAAAAAAACAATCCTCTTGTGCTGTTTAAATCACTTCTGCTGTCCTGGAGGCACGTATTGCTGAGGATCATCGGTATGAGGTTAATAATGGACTTAAAGTGACGATCTCTGAGGCATAGGATTCATTTATTTGTCATGTCAATGTTTTTAACGGCTTAAAGGGGTAAAACATGTTGGTGTCTGAGGTGACGTTCATTACTTAAGTTCTCCGATTAGGACATTTCCTACCAGCGCAATACCAGAAGCCACCACTGCCAAATCAATGTGACATCAAACTGACAGTGAGGCTCAGACCAAGTTGTATCAAGTCTACATCTGATAGAGGAATTACAACATCATTTGGACTTAGCTTTTAGGTTTCCTCACTGTTTATTTGCGCTTAAGCAACTTGGACCCCATCAGCACACACACACACTCATTTATGTTTTGTCTATGTGCAACATTTTTTGCAATTAAGACGTCCACATATGTGGACAACATGTTAACTGACAGCTTTTTGCTTTCAAGTTACTCTGCAGGGGAGCTTCAATTTACATCTCAGCATTTGCAATAGAACAGAGTATGCAACACATTTTAATCAAGAATTAAATAGAAAATGTTGTTTTTGCAAGACACAAGGGTTCCCATCCAGATTTGACCAGTACGGTCCGCCAGAGAAGAGATTCTGAGTGTGTATGTGTGTGTGTGTGTGTGTAAGAAAGCCAATATGCATTTTTTTCCAAAGCTGGCACGTTACACTACAGATGCACTACATAATCAACCAAGCCCACAGATTATCTTACTTAAAACCACGGATATCAGCAGAAATATTGAACGATTAAACTGCGACTGAACTAGTTTCTCCCTGAAAAGTTTTTTTCCTGAAAACTAAGAGGCATCACACCCTGAAAAACAAATAAATGTAAGATGATGAATGTGTTAATGCAATTAAAATGATTCACCGTGGGACAGTGCTGAATCCATCAAGAGTGAGGTATTGTTTTGCTCTGTATGCCAAAGAAGGTTCAGCAAGATTATGTTCACTCTAGTTTAATATTCTTATTACGTTTTCACAGCAACCTGCCCAACGGAGTTGACTAAGGGTGCCGTTGAGATATTACAACATTGTAAGGACAGATGGAAAGCCTTACGGTGTAAAACACTACTGAATAAGGAATGAAGCTTTCAGTTTGCATGGTCCAGAAGTGTGCACGGGTATGCTGGTGTTTCAGGCCTCTTTCTCACAATTTCAGTAATAAAAGTATAATGTGTAATTATTCATTAACATGCTTTTATAATTATACTTTATTTTCTTTAAAAAGAAAAGGGGTTGACATTTTTGCACATAAAAATTTCACATGATTGGGGGGGTTCAAACTGTTATTGGATAAACTGACAGTGATTTGGCAACTCTAAACTGCATGCATTTACTATGCAACAGGCATACAATCTACAGTATTCACTGTGTCGATTCTGCCAATGTAAACATATAGGGTATCAACTAAGATTATATCCTTACACTTAATTCAGATACAGAACATTTCTGTGTCTACTTAGATTGACCTGAAACTGTGGCAAAAATATTCAAGAGAGTATTCAACACTGATTAATCAGTTTGCTTTACTGCTATTTCACACCAGGAAGCACACATTTCTTGGTCAGAGTGGAAGAATCTGAGTAAAGAAAGGTATAGTAGACATTGTTTTTTTCATCAGTGTATTGTACCAGGATGCTGTCATGGAATGATGTCCAGTGACCTGCAGGGAGGATCATATGTTTGTTGGTACCATTACATTTTCTTTGCCATAGCGGATACAGCTGTGTGCACAATAAAACCTGGAACTGATGTGTGTTTCAAAGGAGTCCATTGGGTGTTACTCTGGATAGGTTAATTGTGTGCAGGCCGATTTTTCAAGTGGAAAGAGAATACAAAGGCCTTATTTTTCTGACTTAAGACCACCAATCAGAAAATGTCCCTCAAGAAGTGATTGCACAATGCGCACAAATAATGCAGCATTCAAAGGAAATGTTAGAGGATCAGATGTGAAAAACAAAACAACAGTATTATTGTGGAAATGACTGGAAACAAAGAGCGGATGGAGACTAGAAGAAACCATAAACATAGGTGTGTACTCTGCAGTGTTTGCTTCACCAGTTTTGCACTGGTAATTTGATATAAGCTGTGTGCCTGACTACTTAACTCTCATAAGACTGGGACGCTGTACAATTTGTAAATAAATACAGCATGCAAAAATTTGCACAATAGAACTTATTCAACATATCAGATGCAGAAAGTGATATTTTGAAAAGTTCTAAATCATTTTAAATTCAGAAACACAACTCATAAAAAAGTTGGAAAAATGGCAAAATGTGACCAGTGGATGCCTTTCAATCTTTGGGCCCTCAGACAATACACATCAATCAGTTTTCTGTATCCATCTTTTCTAATCTAATGTCTAATGAATGAATGAATCTAATGAAACATGTTGTCCCAGCACATTTTATCGTGTCTCTGCCGTGCATCGCTGGTCAAACAAACTTCCAGATTTACCTACAAAATAAACCCCATTCTTCTGAAAAACAAAAAAAGAGGAAAATGTACAGAGTCAATATTGTATGTTTTATGTAAGATAAAAGCTACATTACTTGTGGTTTCGGCTGGATTTGTTTTGAACTAAGACTACTGGTCCTGGGCAACACCCAGTGCATTTCCAAGGCTGTTTATTAGACTTTTAAGTACAATATTAAAATAAACATGTTTGAGTTACATTCCTCTACTGTCTTTAGTCAAGGGTATTTGTTGTAGCCACACTCCCTTTTGAATAAAAATAAAGCTTTAAGACTTGTGAAAGCCAATGCAAGTCATGAAATAACAATCACAGAGAGGTGTATTTTGGCATGTCGGGCACTCTCAATTTCTGAAACTGTGTATCAAAAACTTCATTCAAAGCAATGACATGTATCCCAGGTCATATTAGTGAGCCAATCCAGTATATTTCTGATGTAAATTTCACCATGTTTAGCAAGTTAAGCATAGATACAGCGTAGCTTTTGTACAGTAGGCTATATGCATTAACACCTGAAGGGCTCCATCCTCAGTGGATATAGTAAACAAAGTGATCTGAATCTTTCATCTCTTCCGCTGGTACTGTATTGGCATTAGTTGCAATGATCAGACACTGCCTCCTCTGCTGAATCTCATCCTTGACTAATTTAAAAGCAGTTTGGATGACAGCACTGTTTGTTCTCATTTGGTAAAGCAGGAGTTTTGTGAGGATCGCATAACATGGTAACTTCCATCTCACAATCCACCAGCGTGATCTGAAGCGACATTTTAGCTGAAGCCATGCATTTCCATCCTGAAGTTCAACACTGTTTCTGTGTAGCATTCTCAACTCAAATTTGGGAATGTCCAGCGGGGAACACAACATAAGAGATCTGTCAATTATGCTGAGGTTAAATAAGTTGAACCAAGGCTCATGCCAAAGCCAACAGGCAGGGCAGTGGTAAAGAGGAGAAAAGAAAAGTCTACTGAAAAGAGTTTCCAAAACCGGACAAAGTTCAGTAAATCAGGTTCTGCTGGCTTCAGAGACAAACCCTGCCTTTCCCTCGTGTTTTACCTTTAGCCATGCATCAGCGAGAGCCCAAACATTGTGGTTTTTATGACAGAGTTTCAAAACAAATTCTCTGAATCTGATAAAACTCTCATACATGCTCAAACAATATGTCAAATTGTCTTGCGTGGCTGAGCCTGTGTGTACAGAATCTCTGTGTTTCGAAGGCAGCAGTGGCATTGGGCTTTTCTGCATGACATCACAACTCACTGGGAACTTAAATTTGGGTGGATGTAGATAAATAAAATGCTTTGGAGGGAGAGATGATGCACAAAGGGCTTCTCTCACTGAATGTACGTTGTCAT